ACTGTTAAGACTTTAAAAAGTCATAAACACAAGAAGATTCTACATCTCACAAGGAGGAACAGTTGCATTTCCCCTAAAATTGCAGCAACCTAATCAACTCACAACCAAATGTCACCTCCATGTCAGATCTGCAGCTGACATGTGGACTGTGCTGGCCAACAAACTGAGAGCCATATTTTTCCAGCATAGTTTGCTGACATGATCATATTGCTGAACTTCAGGAGACCATTTCAGTCACATTCCACAAAAAACACAAGATTTCATACTGTGCCATGAACCCTTGGTCACAGCAGTATTACTGGGCAGAGAAATATAATAGGCCCCTACCTTAACGTGTGTAACAGAGCAGTAGCAGCTTTCATTTTCTCCACAGGAGGACATGTGCTAGTCCTTGCAACAGAAAAAGTTATTTAGGATATTTACTTAGCTGCCAAGAACAAGCTTTCTTGTTTTCACATGAAAGCATGTCCAAATGGGTAAAAAATATTTCATTTTTAAATGACTTCATTTTTAATTTTTAAATTAAAGAGCATTATTAGAGCACTGTTATTAAATTTTCTACTAAAGTTTTTGTCTTAAGACTTTTAATTAGTGTTTCAGTACTTGGTTTCACCATGTTCCAGATTGAGGGCACGTCCAGTAAGAAACTGCATGAAAAGGAAAGTTGAAGCCATATCAGTCACTCAGAACAGAGGAAATGCAACAATTAAGGCTTTTCCAACAATCTTAATTTTTCCTTCTTGTTTGTAGACATTGTAGTATTGTCTTTAATTACATGATCATACACTATTTTGCTATGTCTCAATTCAATTGTTCAGTATTTCTTTTCATCATCCTTATTCTTTATGTACCTTATTTTTCAACCTGCCATTCAGACACTTCAATGAACACAGAAGTATTAATTTTTTTTTCTCTCAGAGTGTGTGGTAATGTTATCTTATCTGAGTGCCTCACAAACATCAGTTAAGTCTTTCTTCCCAATCCCTTTATGAGATTAGTTGTGATCTTCCCCATTTGACAGATGAAGAATTTACAGAAACACAGAAGTACAGAAGCATTAAGGTTTAAAAAAAAAATTTAAGCCCACTTTATGCCAATGTTGAGATATCTGTGATAAGTTGTTAGCACTAATTACATTTAAAGCATTCAGATCACATGGAAAGTGCATTTAAATGACAATTATTTTTTCTTTGTATATCTGATCTCTGTCCCCTACACTTGCACCCACAAAACAAGCAGAGCATAATGCTAGCATGAAGATTTTGGTGTACTTTGAGATACATTCTTTTGTAGGATCTTCTTTTCTTTGGAGAGATGCTCTCTTAGCTGATTGTATCATCAGTCTATTCTAGAATTCTGCTCATGTTTGCAGTATAGAACTTGACGAGCAGGAAGGGGCCTTTTCCAAAAGGGTCTCTGGAGTGATCTTTAATAGTGTTTGAAAGAATTTTGCATTACATTTCTGATTTACAGGGATGTATTTTGCTTTCTATTTTGCACAGAAACTAGGTAGGTGTACTTTGCTGACACTTTCCCTCCTGAATCACTGGCATTTTTAAAATATTTTTTCCTAAATATCCTCCCATTTAATAAATTTTTTTTTTCATTTCATTGTTTAAATGTTAGCCTTACCTAGATACACATCCAAAATAAATACTTATAATTTTGTTCTGTACTTCTGTATGTAGTGGAGTAGCTATACAGCTTTAATATGTGCTGTGGTTTGACAGTTTGCATGTTTGTATTGTTTTGAATTGCCTTTACACTGAATTGCCTCCCAGGCTAGCTAAACATAGAGCAAAAGTAATTCTGCTGAATTATCTGCCTCTTTCTTGAAAGAGTTTAGTCAGAGGATAAATCTGCAAGGTAGTTAACCAACACCTGTAGACATGACCCCAGATGGGTTTCTTCCTGAAACCTTTGAGAAAGTTTTAAAATGAAATTACTTAGCAAAAATCAGGTTCCATGTGCTCCTTAAAATACCACAGTATTTTTTCTATTCCTAGCCGTTGGCAAGTTTCCAACAGTTCGGTACGTTCCAAGATCAAAATTACTTTATATTAATAACAAGGGAGTGAAAATAGTGAATAAAAATCAGCTTAGAGATAGAACAGTTCAACAGTACTGGAGTTGCAGCTTATAATGCAGGTTACTGGCTTTAGCCTAGACACAATATGTTCGGTGTCAGTCCCCCATGGAGTTACTTAACCCTGCCGGTAGATTCCTACAAGCATTAGGAAGATTGTACACTAACTAAAAATCTCTCTGCTTATACAGCTGGGGTGCTTTCTGGAAACTCTGCACCTCTGACAAAGCTGCTGAAATTACTTCCTGAGAGAAAATTCCATTTATTACTTCCACACAATCTTAAAATGATGATTGCTTTCTTGTTCTGCCCTTTAATGTCTTCTTCTTCCCTCTGCTCTGGACTGATAGTTAAATTCACCAGGTGTGAATTTCGGTTTTTTTGTCATGCTGATACTTGCATGCCTACAAGAAAACCTCTCTTTAATCAAAGTAACAATTGTAAAACACATGTCCACTTTTGAAGGTCTTGGCTACATTTATCCTAAGCACTGATTTATGTCCACCTCTTTCCTGATGTAAGAAAGATATGGTGAGTTTTTGTCTTGCAAGCAGTACAGGGTTAGGTCTAAAAGTACCTCATTAAAGCATCATCTTCCTGTAAATTTGCTGGAAGCCTTACTCTGAAGTGAATGAAAAGCTATCCTAAGGCTTCCTAAGTTATTATTTTTTGCTGAAAAATCTTTAGAAATTACTCCTGACAGTACACACCCCTACATAAAATTCAGCAGAGGAAACTGTTTTTTGTAATGGTGCTAGAAACTTGTATTATAGACTTCAGTGCTCCCAGTTGGCTCAGATGAGGTCATTTATCTACCTTGCTAGTACTCTACTGATCTAAAGTACAGCAAAATGTACAGCAACTGTGGCAAAATTCATAGCACTTTTAGGATAATTTTGTTAAATACAGAAATACAGTACACCTCTGCAGTGAGAAGTGTTTGTACATACATACATTTGCCAAATAAATACATGAAGTTTCTGGAGACTTTTATTAATGAGAAAATTAGCTTAATATGTATTTATGTTTCTCTTTTAGGAACTTGAACAATACAAAAGAAATGCCTCTAAATCCTGGAAAGAAATGGATTTTGATTCTGATTGAGGAAGTGCTCTGTCTTCAGTTTAACACCATTTACAAAATTATTTTTATCATTTTTACATTACATTAGCAATTTCATCTGATGCAGTTGAAAATATATAATACCAAACTACGACATTGGTATTTATTAAACATCCCTGCTGTTATTTTCCAGAAAAGGAGCTCTTTATTCACTCAGTCCAAATTTGTTTATCTTGGCACTAGCAAAGAGTTTTAAAAAGTGGGGTGAAAGGAGTTCTTGATTGCTCTCAGATGGGTCTGTATATGAAGACTGGCATTACTCAATTCTATATATTTTATAAGTTATAACACATTATTTTACTTACTTTTGAATACTTCTAGCCTAAACATATATTTAAATATAAACAAGTTTTCACACCCAAAGTATGAAATTGTGTAGTGTGCTAGGCATCTTTTTGTAGTTCAAAACCAAAGGTTAAGAAATACTTGCATAATTGTTTGATATATTTGAATAAATAAAAAAAACCCCTAAAACTGGCAGAATAACATGGAGTTAAATCCTTCTTTGACCTGAATTCAGAAGTGTGCATTCTCTCTGTCACAGAATCATACAATTCAATACAGAACTTATTTCTTGCAGTGCATAATGTCACACAGAGTTTAGAAGATGGATGTTTCTGTCACACATTCAAATGCTAGGAAGTCAGTCTAATTAATTTGACAGATACTTGGTTAGTGCTGAGAGTATTACTGATTCACATTCAGCCTACAGCAGGAATGGGTTTTTGTCCATGCACACCTCACTAGTGTGAGATGCACTGAGTGTTCTGAAAATACCCAAGACAATGCAGATTAATGCCAGAGGTGTCTCCTGAGAGCTCAGACTTGTCAGAGTGAATGTTTGAAGAGTCACCTGGCAAACCAGATCAACCCTACATGCTCATAAAAATGGGAGAGACAGACTAATCTGGTATCTTTCCAGCTATTTAAAGCTATTTGTTATGTTTAACATATTCATTCACCAGATATTTTTTCTGATAAAAACATTTATATCTCAGAATATTTTACATAAAAATAATAGAAAAATACACTTAAGTGGAAATACTGTATCGCCTTGAGAATTGGATTTAAAATTCCTTGTTATGAACTGCCTCATCTCAAAACTATCATATAAACTAGCTATATAATTACAGAATTTTAAGATACAAATATACTTACCTCCTTGGAGAAATCTATCTCTCAGCAAAAACTAATTTCTTCACAGAACATGAAAATAAGATACAAAATTTAGGAATTCTGTGTCTGTTATGTTTTCAGTTTTGAAAGACCCATGAGAAAAATTTCCAAAGATGAAAATGGCATTACTTCTGACAAACAACTCTTATACTTTTTCCCTAGTTAAACTGACATTTTATTAAATAAAACCAAAACATTATTAAACAAACATATATTTTTCCTTGTAATTCATAAACTGCTTCCAAAACAAGGTTAGAACTTGACAGTGAAAAGAAAGAATTCATGGAAATAACCTAAATGTCTTCACTGATTTACTAAAATTTACAAGGCAAAACCAACTTGTGTAACTTTGATACTGCTTCAAGATCCTGTACTCATCAGTTGTATAGTGTGTATGAGATCAAAGTGGAGTGAGTTCTTGATTCTGTCTTTACATGTATTTGGTTTGTTTCCTCTCTACAGATTCCTCAAATGGTATCAAAACAAGGCTTAAGACTGAAAATACAATCCTAAAAATGAGATTTACTAGCAGTTGGATCCCTCTACTTACTAGTAGTGGTTAAAAACAAAATAGTGGGGAAAAAAATTAGAGCACCATTGCTACATTGTTAAAAATTGTCAGCAATAGCTGACTAAATTAAATCAGAAAGCCCTTTAAAACATTAAATACTGTTGATTATGGCTGATCTGGAAATCAGCCAGAAGAGAGGGGTGGGGAACACCAATATCAGGAGTCATTCACACTCTTAAGAGAACACTGGTTTTCAAGGTGAAAACAAACATGAAAAGATGAATGTGTTTTTCTATGTGTAATCATTTAAATTCTATCTAAAATCCAACAATATAGGCCTTCGACCATAGTACAGATAGAAGTATAGTATTAGAGACTGTTGGAATTGCTACTTTTTCATTGTCTGTCAGTAATTCTCTCTTAATTTGAAGCTTAGAATTGCAATAATGGCAAGTACTGGTATAAAAGCATAAAGTATGAGGAAATCGACTGTGAACCGGGACAATGCCCCAGGATAGTTTTCTTCAATGAACCGGACGCCTTGAGAGAGAACACATGCAGCATTATTTGCAGTGGAACTGTTGGCTCCACCTGTCAAAAGAAACAATTTCTTCAGTAGGTAAATCAGTAAAATTAAAACTCAGACTCCAGTCTCTAACTCATGCCTTAAATACACGTCTCCCTGACATCACTTCCATGAAGAACCATACCCACAGCAGTATTTCTCATCACTGTGGAATAAAACCAGACAAGCCCTATGTTTCTGCAGTTAATCCACGACATACTTTTTAAAGGGAAGAATAAATGGTCACTAGGAGCTCTCTCTTTTGTTCATGCCAAACAAAGATTTATGGCTTTTCAGACACATTATCTGGAGTGGCTTCAAGAAGCAAGTTGCCCCATGTGGTAGACTTACAGTGTTCATATGTGTTGAGGGTTCCAAAATGCAAGAAATGGTGACTGAAGGGCACATTAAAAATGGTGACTGTCTGAAGGGTACTAATAGAGTCATGTATTCGTTTTCTAACCATTGTTGATCTTGTAATAAAGAGGTGCAGGAGAGATTAATAGATAAAAAATATGTAGCTTTGGAGAGGAGCACAGACACCTGGCTACAACACCCCAGTTATCTTAGGGTAGATTCAAAGCTGTAAGTTTTACCCCACTAATGTGTATTAGCTACTACCCCTGCCACCATCATTGATTCTCTTGTTTTGCAGGTTGTCTTGCTCACAACCAGCAAAGCACAGCCTGACAGACCCAAGCTGCTCAGTAAATACCACGGAAACACATTTGAATTGACCCCTCTGTAGTATTAGAGGAGATACCTGGTCAGCTTTTTGCTACCTCTCAATATTCCCTCCACTGACATTAATCTTAGATTGTGCAATCTTCTTGATGCTCTATTTGTGTAACATTGCACAAAAAAAATTTCCAGCCTGTAATAAACTTAGCTTCCGAAATTCCTCCAAAGAGCGGATAAGAGAATAGGTGAAAAAGAGGAAGATGGAAGAACTGGAAGAATGGGAAATGGTTGGAACAAAAGAATCAAATTCTGCTCTAACTGGTGTGGCATTAATGCTGGTGTGGCATTACAGTCTTCAGTAATTAGTAAGTTCGTTTTAGCAACTCAAAAGTTACATTTATTTTATCAGGATACATGTACATAGAAGGAAAATAAGAATCAACATCTCATTAAAATTATTTATAATGGACTTTTTTTTGAACACTTACCACATGTGAAGTTTAAGCCATAAAATTCATTGACTACAAGGACTTCACTGCTGTATTTTTGAAATGTAAGAAAACTAAGTAGTTTCAAAGGTGTTGGCATTTCTTCAATGGTCCTTAAAGAAACAGAGAAGTTAAGATGGCTTTTGCTACATACTAAGAGACCCCAAATTAAAACAAGCTCATTGTTTGTAACCTGTGACAAAAACAGTTCTTGTCTCTACCTGTAGGGTTTTCAAACATAAAGTCCAATTTTAGGGCTAAATGATGAGACAACCATGAAGGCTGTCCCTGACTTTGGTACAGTGTCACAACATTCAGCCCTGACTTGTTTATGAACAGTCACAAAGAATTCTACGGTTGTTTGCTGTTCACATGGCAGTGATAAACTGAAAATGACAAGACCCAATATAAACCTTACTTGCAGAAATGTGCTTTCAAAGTAAGAAACCACCATCCCTCTCTCCATCTTCAAAACCATAAAAAACAAACAAACAAATAAAAAAACAGGAAAAACCCCCAGCAACCAACCTAAGTCTCAATGCTATTTTTAATGTCCTTCATTGCTTATGAAGATTAATCAAAAATATTCATAATATTAATGAGCAAAGCCTGTGCTGTAAAATAAGCTTAGAAACCGCTCTAATGCTTTTAACTTATCATTCAGGCATTAGACTATGGTAGCAGGAATAAATGTCTTTCACTGTAAACACATGTCTTCCTGAAATTAGGCAGGGACCAAATAAATAGACATTAACCTAGCTTTATATTGTAAGTATGAGCTGAGATCTACTTTAAAGTAGAGACAAAGCATCATCAACTTTGTAAAGATTCAGATGGTTTTCTTGAGGACAACACCATGTGTTGTTAGGCTTACTTAATTTTCATTGGGAGGGTCTCAGGTAACCATATCCTACTTGCTGAATATCTTAGGAAAACTGCTTTTTAACAGTTACACATTATTCTGGTACATCCCTCAAAAAACCTAGTAATTTCAGTATTGACAAATACAAGGAGAAAAACTGTTCAAACTTCACAATTAAACACAAACCCATCTATTTGCACAGTAATAGAGCAAGTGGATCATGATTTTCCTGCATATTTACTACACTACTCAATAATTTTTATAGATTTCAGTCTACAGGTAGAAAAAGGGACTGAAAAGTTTACTGGCTAGACTGGATAATAACACCAGTAAGACAGTTGAGAGCAACTGCTTTTTTAAACCAGCATTACCAATGTTTAATGTCATAAATTCCAGCAGTTACTAAAAAATGTAGGAACAGGGATTTTTAGTAGGTTCCTTTAATGAGGACAGCATTTCACATCATCATGTCAGCATCAATAAAATAATTCAGACAAGCTGACAGATATGAATTTTTCAGTTTTATCTTCAATGTATTCGCAAAAACTGGGGGAAATCTTCAATATCTTTGTTGATATCTAAAGATCCTAAGTGTCTCATTTTATGTTTAGTACAAAGCCCAATAAGTAGCCCTGCCTCTGAAGGAGCACAGCTGCTCTTGCTTTTCCATTGCTACCTGTGCTTTACTGGATTTCTGCAAAACCAACTCTTCCACATCAGTGTTAACAGCAACACTGTAACAAAGCAAGATTTTTTTCCTACCTTACTAGTCCTGTTCCCACTATCACACCAGCTGAATTAAGTAGCACAATGCCACTTTGGACTCTATTTGGGTCTTGAACCATGCCAAGTACAACAAGTGTTAGTAGTTCACCAATCATGTGAGACGCTAGGACAACAGCAAAGAAAATTCCAAATCTGGAAGCATCAGGATACAATCCTGTAGTCCTGTACAAAGAGGAGCAAAAGAACAGTTAAAAAACAATGTTTGAGTAGTAAACTTGGAAAGTAGCTTTTACTTTTTTTTCTATTTGGGTTTTTTGCAGTTATACCTCATTAGGTGAAGAGTTTATGCCTTAATCCTTAGTATATTGTTTGGAATCTAAACACAAAGGACATCCACTTACTATCATTATGTAAGTGCAGATACATGAGGTTTTCTCCATCTAGATTAAAGAGGGATATGCAAAGATGTGATTCTTGTAGAAACCCAGATTTTTTCAAGACAATCACCATAGCTTTTCTATTCCTTAAACTAACCTGCTGCTTCTTGTAAAGTCTTTGCAGTGGGAGTCATTAATGTAAGTCACGTATTTAAAGAACATCTTTATGCAGGTAATTAACAGATGGGATTTTGCACTTCTGATAATGTGCAAGCAAACATAAGCATGGATATACTCAATTAAATAAAAAACTAATTGAATTCACCACCCATGTAATTCATACCAATGCAATTTCCCCCATACTCCTGCATTCTTTATTGCAACATGCTGTTCTCAGTTTTCCGCTAGCTAACCCAAGGGAAAGAGTCCTCTCAATCTATACTCAAGATTAAAAAGTTAAGAAAAGCCTGCAACTGCTTGACAAACTTAATTCAGCTTTATAATGTATGTGACAGATGACAAAACCCTTTATTACACTGTGACACATTACTCTTTTTCCAAAATACCTCATACTAAAATTGCCTCACACTAGGTGCACACTGCATGCTTTGCTTAGCTCACAAGCAGCAATTCGACATTCAATTTTCTTTTTTTTGTTGCTCAGTGCAAGACCCTATGTTGTTTTTTTTAATGCACCATGTTCGAATATGGTCTTAAACCAGAAGTATCAATTTTCTCATAAGCTTTCCTGTAGTGTTTTTTGTAACACCAGAATAATTTATAAATAGATGGATGAACATTGACTCTTCCAGCATTAAACACTCAGCAAGGCAGCAGGTATTTAACAACTTTTAATTGCAGATTGGTGCAGAAGAAACAGCTTTCCAAAGTCCTACCAGAAAACTATCACCTCGCAGCCGCTCTAATACTTTACACAGATATATGGAGACAGAGGCTAGTAAATCTGGGGTATGAATAGAACAGAAGAAAGCCAAAAAAAAAGAAAAAAAAAAAAAAAAAACCAGCCGAAACAGAGAATATTACAGCAACAGAATAACAACATGATGTGGACTGTCAGAAGATTTCCCAGAGGTACAGGAAAATCTGCACAGACAGGACATTCACTTGATTGCAAGACAGGCTCTCTCTGAACTTGGCCAAATCTGCCTTGTGTCTGATCAGGTCAGAGTTTGGGTCTGCCTGACCCAACTGGCTGACTCCACAAACACAAACTCTATGAGAAATGGCTTGTAAGAACACATGCCAGAGGCTGTCAAAGCCTCTCAAAAAGTTAGGCCATTTGGGAAAGTTCAGTCCTGCATAACAACTGCTAAAATTTCATCCAGGAACTGCTTGCCCTGAGAGGTCTAAGAGCATTGTGAAATTACTTTGACACATCCCTGATGGCTTCCAAACAACTGCAATATTGGAAAGATAATACCTGTAAATATTATCCATTAACTGGAGCCTCACTATTTATTGTTGATTGTGTTTGAGCCAACCAAAACACACGGGCAAAGTCTCCTGCCCATGTGGATTCCCTGTTTGTTATGGAGTTGAGAGTGTCATTGAGCCTGGAAAGCTGCTTTCAAAATGGCTGTTATCTTGGCATCAGTCACAAACAGAAGGTCAGCACAGCACTTACTAGAAGAAAGAGTAATTTCTGTCTGTCTGTCTGTGAAACAAAGGCTTCTCAGGGAGCCCTGCCTCAAGCAGGTAGCACTGACAGCTTGCAGAAACAAAAGCCTAGGTAGCTAAGGGGATAAAGATGGCTACTTTTCATGTCCACATCAAACTACAAAACAACCTGTCCATGCAATGCAAGTCCTCATGCCTGGAAGAGCAGAAATCTTCCTCTCAGAGGAAGTTCTCTTTTCATTGAGATTTCAAATGGAAAGCATTAAGTAAATGCTGAGCACTGCCCCTCATTGCCCACTATAGACCATAAGGAAGAAGGGAATAATCATACATTTTTTCTGAGTTTTTCCAGATTGGGGGAAAATTGCTACAAAATTCCCTGTGCAGAAATTCTGATTCAGAAGTCCAAGCAATTTTGTGTAGCTCTACTTTATCCATTTTCCATCCATCTTACTGGAAAGTAAGAGCACTAACATGCACAGCTACAGCAGAATGGCTTCTGCACTTTAGCTCTTTCATGAGGGTGTATCCACTTATGACTTTTGAACAGCTCATCAGAGAACATGCATCCACAACACAAACCAAGCCTGCTCATCACTTGTACACAGATTACTACAGACTGCCAAATGATGGCAACTGTCCCAGGAAAACTAAAATTCACTTTGGTGCACCAGACATCTCTCAACATTAGAAAAGAAAAAGGTTGAAGGACAGAAATTTGTGCTTTTCTCTGGAAGGTGTAAGAAGGGATCCAGATTTCACCACTTACATATGCTGTAGCTAAACCCCAATGTCCCAGGAAATAAAAGTTTTGTTACTGTCACGTACCTACAGCTGACATCCTCACTTTGGGGTTTTTTTTGGATTTTTTTAAATTTCCTGTCTTTCTAAATGCAATGTAAAATGACACTCCCTGCTTTCAATATGACAAAATGATGATAACTCTCCCAGGTCCATTAAAACTTTCCCAGTTACCTAGAGAACTGGTAATTTACTTACTGGGGAAGTGTTTTCAGCTCTACCTGAAAGAAAAGGGCTAAATTTGTGTCATCTTTCCTTATGCTTTAAATGTAATCATTTTGAGAGACAACAGCAAGAAGCCAAGCCAGGAGGCCTTTTGCTGACATGTTAACTGACACTGGTAACAAAAACAAAATGACAACCCAACAGATGGTCCAAATGCTTACCAGTATATGAAAGTGCTGAAAATGGCCACACTGATGACACTGAAGGGCAGGAAATGGACTACATAAGCTACAAGCATTTGCCATTTCTTGTACAAGCCGTCTTTACTTTCTTGGTCACTGATAGCACGTAGAGGTGGGACTGAATTAAATATATAAGAAATTAAGTAAATTGCCATTAAACAGAGAGAGCAAGATTTGTTGTTAGCAGAAATGATCTGAAGCACAGAGACAACTTTGAGAATGTATCACAAACATTCTGCCTAAACCACTCTGATCCTTTTTCCCACCACTATAAATGCAAAGCATGCTCCCTGCAGACTGCAAACATTGGTAGGCTTAATGAAAGAGGCCTAACTTATCAGAATGCAGGACAGCCTTCTCTTTTTGCATATACAAATTAAGGACATGAGAAAACCTCTGTCACTGGCTAATTTATTGAGGTGCTCTGATTTCAAGCTAATGACAGCAGTGTATGCTCTCTACATGAGAAAAACAGTTTTTAGGGCTGTAAGTAGAAAATACTGTTGCTTTCAGTATGGCACCTGTAAGAGAAAAATCCTTTAAAAATGTAATCATCATGTAATACTCATAAATCCAATTATGCTTAATTGCTGTCAAAGCTGTTTTGCACTTCCATCCTTTCCACAGGTCTTGTTTTGAGCTCACTTAGATATCAGCTAGACCTAGACTTTGTCTTGCCTATAAAATGCTACACACAGGGAAATCTTTTGCACAGTTTAGAATAAAGCCTTCATAGACAGGCCAGCTGTAAAAAAGAAAGGCAGGGATCAGGGCATATACCCTTAAATTCCACTGAATCTTGTGCTTCTGTATCAACTCTGACATTACCTAGACCAGTGAAGATCCTTTAAATTAGTATCTTCAAAAAATACTTTTTCTTATTTAAGACAGAGTGGCAGCAACAGCTGCTGCTGCATGTAAGACAGGACAGAAACTCACACAGGGCCACAGCATTGAGCATCCCTGTGTAGGGGGGGGCACTCACACACTGGTAGACAAGCCCCACACGGTCCTGCACAGCTCCCTGGGCCAGGTCATTCCTTAGTCTAAGAAGGAAAAAGGCTATGAACAAGCCAAATAACAGGTTCTGGAGGAGACGCATGATGATGCCTATCTTATCTCTGGAGAGATTTCTTGTTGTTCTCCTGATAATGAAACAAAACAACAACAAAAGGCTTGTTAGCTACAACTGAACACATGTTGGTAGGGTATTAAGCTTTGAACAAATCTTAAGACACACAGTGTCCACAAGGAGCTTATATATTAAAAAAGACTAGGGATAAGTACAGTGGGACATCAAATAACCAAGGAAGTGCATCTCTACGTGGAGGGGAAACCTGAAAGATTAATGGAGAAATAAAAAAAAAAAACTGCTTTAAAGGAGGGCGGTGGGGGGCACGGGGGTGGAGAAGTCTTACCGTAAAAGAATCAGTATTTGGTCAAAGCCACTGGGTGAGTCTTTGTTTTTGAATGGTATCGGTGGCAGCTCCTTCATATACTTTGTTTTTTCAATGGCTGCCAGTGCTTTGCTAAAGATCTCTGAGTTTCTGTAGGCTGATACAAATTGCTGAACCCTACTGTAGGTTTCGAGTTCGTGTTCCTTGCTTCGGGTGTCCACAGATGTCAGATCCACTGTAAAATGACAAAGCTTTTACTCTATATACACATCACTTTCCCTTCATACCTTTTCCCCCGTGCAACTAACTTCTTCTTGTCTCCATTCTAAAACACGCAAAGATTAAAAGGTCAATTGAAAGTATTCAAGGCTTCTTTCTCCCTTCTGTTAGATGCAGCAGGAATTAATTAACTGTGCAGCCACAAGAAATCTGTGTTTTGTGACCTCTGTAGGACCCTGCAGTTCAGGTCCTTGATCTGGAAAAGCAAGGCCTAAGCACTGTGCTGGTCAGACCTTTAGCACTCTCCTTGCACAGCAGAGAGCTGTAGGGAGCAAGACAAAGCACCAGAGGACGAACATTTATGAAGATGAAGAGATCACTTATCTGGTCGTATATTTCTCAGGTTTTCAGGCAAATGCTCAGAAGTGGCTCCATGGCTCCCCCTTGTTCTCTGCCCACTCCTCCATAACTATGGAGCTTTATTTTTTGCTTAGTGTGAACTCACACTGTAGAGACACTGCTCTTCTCTCCTTGAGCTGTTAATGCTTTGTTGCACTGGGTGTCACCTACCTCCTTTGCAGACATACTTCTCTTTTAATATGAAGTCAGAGGATGTTCAGCTGGCCAAATTCCCCTAGCAGGCTCAGCCCAAGCTGAAGGAAGTAATACTGACTGCCATGGAACTCAGGAAAAGTAACTACTTCACAGAGTTAATGTTCCTTTCTAGTAAGTCCCCCTAAACATACTCCTGGCACCAGCAATTCTTTTGCTGACAGATGGGAAATTTGTGTGCTCCATTTTTAAAAGTCATACAGATTCAGTAATAGTGCTAAAACACCTTAGAAATTTCCCTTTTCCCTAACAGCAATGAATTAGTCAAGGTTTTGAAAACTGGATTGTTGTTCTCAGCAATATTTGTTCTTACCCTATTTTATATTACTCTTCTACATCTGGTAAGATGTCTTCATCAGTTATTTATTGCTAAGGTTTCTCTCATCCTTAGATTTCAGTTTTGTAATGTTCTGTTCAACTTCAAAATGCAAATTCAACAAAAGGAGGCCTTGTCCAAGATTCTTAAGTTTCCTCAAAATCTGAATTAGGCTTATGAATAGTCCCCTGGTGTTCTAAAAGCTGGAATTCATCAGAATTGTCTTTAATGGTAAACATTTCCAAAATGAAGCCTTCGCTTTTACAAATGTGAACATCCGAAAGGCAGAAACACTTTTAAAAACTTGGCCAGTGTGACTTGCTGGAAGTCACACAGGAAATAAATGGCAACTGGGTGTGCTTTAAAAGAATTGTAACAATGACTACAAACTAGACCAACTAGCTAATGCCAACCATGCATTAGTACTTTTTACAAACATGTGACAGTTCAGCAATATAATCCACACACAATACATAGGATATATTTTCCTCTGTTGCTGGTGTAAATGATATCAGAATCTGTCCCTTCACTCACATCAAATCACACAAAAAAAAATATAAACTACCAATTTTCAAAAGACTAAATATTCTGATGATTCTCTGCTCTAATCTGTATTTTTTTCCTTTCTTGTCACATTCAAAGGTTGACATTTGAAGAATGCAGTACTCTCTTTACCAAGCTTTTTTAAAAGTGGGTCTAAATCTCAAATCATCTATGCTTTTCAATACTATTCAAATTCATGAAGGCAAAATTATCCTCACTGTCATACCAGTATTTTCAGCTTTATCCCATTCCAGCTTCATGTCAACAACCATCCTCTCTTCTCACTGAGTTTAGAATGCCATGTAGACAATAGGAAAACACTGCCTGCTCTGAATGCAGCTTTTTGAATTGGTCAAATTCTCTAGTTAGCGTTCACCTAGTACTGCCAGAAATTAACCTAACATGTTGGATTTAAATAGAGTTATGTAAATGGCTGCTTATCTGTACTCATACAAACGCATCCACATTCTCTTCAAACCTGTGCCTGTATGGATCAGGGACATGGATGTCCTGCAGCAAAACGAGTCTCATCTAAAGTCTCCTGCTGACCCTTTTTTTCCATCTTGAATTGGTAAAACAATACTCGCCAGCTTATGCCAACAGCTATAATCATCTTGCTATCATCATCTACTAAAGCATCCATTCTGTTCCAGTTGTTCACCCTGGTATTAGCAACTCCCCTAAATTTTCAGAAACCTCAAACTTAGAATTCCTGGAAACTGATGCCTCAAGTCATCCCATATTTATTCTATATCCTTCCCTCTACACAACTCTTTTAAGTTGCTTGGCATCACAGAGTCCAGAGGAGCATGGTATTTTCCACAATTTTGGAATCAAATTAATTTTCCAACATCTAGTACACAGCCATAGGGAAATGCCATCAGGAATCCACAGGTTTCATGAAGTTGAGATTCTTTTTTTAGTGGTAGTTTACTCCTTTACTGCAAATATGGCTATTTTATGGGGTCATTAGGAATGACACGGGGCCAGCCCTCTCTCTGAGCTGAAAATAATTAAAAAGTTGGAGCAGAATTCACATACGTTTTTATCTCTGGAAAAACTTTAACCTGGGGAAAAAACCAAATTGTTTTACCAAAACAACTTAGACAAACTTACCATAGAAGTCAAAAGGATTTGATTGTTCAGGACAAGAATAGCCACAGTCACTAAAAAATGAGATCATTTCCATAGGGTTCCCACAGAAAACCATTTCTCCAAAGCTCATGATGGCTATTTTATCAAATAACTGTTGGGGGAAAATTAATATATTAGCAGTATGTACTAAGAATCACAGAATATGCTGATTTGGAAGGAATCCATCAGGATCATCAAGTCCAACTCCTGGCCCTGCATAAGACACCCCAAGAATCGCACCATGTGCCTGAGAACATTGTCCAAAAGCTTCTTGAACTCTGTCAGACTTGGTGTTGTGGCCACTTTCCTGGTGAGCCTGTTCCTAACCACCCTCTGTGTGAAAAACCTTTTTCTAAGATCCAACCTAAACCTCCCCTGTCACACTTCAGGCCATTCCCTCAGGTCCTGTCACCAGTCACCACAACAATCAGATCAGGAGTGCAATCATTCTTGAGTACAGCTACTGTCTTGGTAATAGAAATGCTTTGATGGGAAAAATAGTTTTGACACATTCAAACTTCCTTACTGTATTTCTCCCAAAAGACATTTGTCCTTTCTTTCACTCCTCTCATTGGTGGTTATGCAAAATGACACATCTTTAAGCTCTAGTGGTTCTTGAAACTGTCAATGACAACAGCATACAGAGGCAATCCACAAAAAGAGATGTGGCTTTCTGACTTCACTTCTAATACACCTTCACTTACTGACTGACCCCCTTTGGTGCTTAATAGCCCCAGTCTGTAAAACCCCCCAAATGGTTGGCAATATTATCCTGAGGTGCTTAAGGACTCTTAACAGCACTGCTCTTCAAGTGAACATTTGCCAGGGCAAGGTTACCACCAGCTATAATCAATCCCTGTTCTCAAGACACCAGGGCTGCTTTCAGTCCAGAAAAGCACTGCTGCTCCCCTTAGGCTCCACAACCATTTACACTCCATTCAGTCAGCCAGGGAAGAGGAGTTTTGCATTCATGTGGCAGATGGTGGACAAAGAGCAAAGTGAGAAACAGTAATGGGAAGAGAGAAATGCTCTCCCCAGCCAAACCCTGCAAGGCAGGACTGCCTCACCACACAACCAAGGTGTACACACATGCCTTGTCTTTACTTCTCCCAGTGGTTTTGGTTTGGGCACTTGCATAACACAAGTGTTAGGCACACAGACAGACTCCACACTATTTTCATTAGGCAATGTGTGTCCCTAAGTGCCCTGTGACTGGGACAAAGCCAGAGTTGCAAAGTTCAGGAGAAGCCTCTAATTAAGCAAAGGAAAGGAAAAGAGGCAGCTATACTGGATCTTGTACTTCCATCCTGAAAAGAACCTAACTACTAAAAGGTCAGGTGGAAAACCCAATAGTGGAGTAGGTATCATCTACCTTGAAAAGTTCTGAGCGAGGCTGATGGATTGTAAGGATCACAATCCTGTCTCTGTGTGCAAGCTGTGAGAGAAGCAAGACAAGCTGGTTTGCAGTCAGGCAGTCCAGCCCTGTCGTTGGTTCATCAAGTAGCATGACCTCTGTCAAACGACAAGGAGTAACTTTAAAATTCAGGTAAATCAGGAGCAAATGGCATAGCTTCTGCCCTTAAAGCTAATTTGGCAAATAACACAGAAATGACTTTACAGGTGAAGTTCCACACATAAACCAGGATATGCACAGATATTGCCATGATGGGATCTTTCAGTTTTATTTAGTTTCAGTGGTTCTGTTTCAATGACTAGGAATAAGGACATTAAAAAATAGTTCAGAGCATAATACTTCTTCTAAATTCATGTGAAATCTGAAAATTACCAAAATAGTTTTGATGCATACATCTGCTTTCAAGAACAACAATGATAAATTTCAGCATTTACAAAATTGTAAATATAAGCGACAAAATTAGCTAGGAGTTATATATTCTGAATTAAATTTATATATACATATTTATATATAAAATTTGTTATTAACAAACCAAGAATTCTTAAAATGCAGCAGATGCAATTCCACAGATTGAAGCAGATGTTACTGCCTTTTCTTCATTATTTTATTGCACATGAAAGGGAAAAACTTATCATCAAATCCATTATTTTTATAGAGATGACACGTAGCACAGAAGAGGGCAGTCCAACCTTGATCAGGGTACGAGGGGAGGAGAGTTTTCTCTCCAGGTTTATCTACACAGAATTACTATAAGTGTTTACTGTAGAGTTTAGTGAGGTCCTGAGCAGCAACCACACCCCAGGAGTCTCCAGTAGCAGGGATGTACCTCACTGTGCTATTTGAGCTCCTTCCTGCCTAATATGCAGTTGTAGCATATCCACATGGCTACAAGGACTTCAGCATCCAACAAACATGTACTGTACATTCACTCCATGAGATTCTGGCACCTTCAAGAAACTCTCTCAAAACTGACAAAATTTTTCCCATGGGTAATCCTTCCTCAGTTACTCAGCTTTGATTTCCTTCACTGGAATTTTTTTGGCACGGGAACATACATGGCACTCATACATAGATAGATGAGGGGAAGCTACTCCACTACAAGGCTCAGTGCTTGCACATGTATGGCTCCAATATACTCAAAAATGATAAATTAATGGGCCACAACCAACATTTGGGAAGAGTGAACCCAGAAAGACTTAAAATGGATAAATCCAAGTCCAAACCTATGTTCAGTCCCTAAGATTTTTGTCTGCTTTCCAAGATCAACTAACAGATTAGTGGCAGACCTCAGTTACTGCTTATTCTTTCCTGTCATCACTGGACTGGCTTCTGCTGAATTAAAGAATACAAATGCTTTTGTATTTTGAAGTGGTTTACAGAGGCCTGTGGTAGGAGCACAGCGTGACACAGCCTTGTTTTATTTTGAAAATCCATGCAGTGGTACTTACTGGGATCTTGTAAAAGCTGGGCTGCAACCGATACCCGACGCCTCTCACCCCCAGAAATTCCTACGACATTCCGGCTTCCAATTATTTTGTCAGCAATGTGGCTGAGACTCAGCTCAGTCATAACTGCATCTACCTAAAAAATAATTACAACTTCAAAGCACTAAACACAGTCCAGCTCAGATACCTGCGTGCAATGGCAAAAAAACAGGGAAAAAAGGACGTAATTTTAAGTTACAGCTTTACCAATAGCCTGCTTGCATCCATTCTAGTTGGACGGTATCTGGCCTAATTTATATTTGATTAATTTTAATACATTATTTAAATTATTAGTTTTTTAAATTTTATTTCAATAAAATTTTACTGAAATTAGTAAATTTTAGCCTCACTTGACATTAAGAGATTAAGAGTTCAGAGGTGACTAGAAGTTAAGGTATGGAGCATAATGTGCTGCTGTGGCTTCCAAAATCAGGGAGCAGGAAGGCACATCAATTCTGGGAAAGTATAAAGTACCGAGTAGAAGTCTGGGGAAGAGAGAAGATGGAAAACAAGACTCTCTGGTGATAAATATCCAATTTTACTTCCAATACAATTAAAAAAGAGCCCTTTAAATAAATCTGAAACACACTGATTTCATCAAGAAAGTAGTTTGTAGGAGGTTCAGTAGACCAGTGCTTTTTTGAGCTGTTGTGGTTAGTGAGAAATATCCTACAGGAGACAACAGTGGTCCGTGAGACTTGCCAGCACACATGGGCCTAAATACCCCAGAGAACTGAGGTTCCCCTCTGGGGAAGGGGAACCGACCTCAATACCCAGACCAGCACCTCCTGCAGCAGTAACTGCTTCAGCTTCGGGTGGGAGCGTTTTGTCCCAGCATAATGGGCATGTCCTGGGGCACCAGCACAAGCTCCTTGAAGGGGAGGCACCACCACACAGCTTGTGCCCTACTCCTCAGCAGGGGGATTTCTCCCCATTTTCAGAATGACAATTACAAAACCTCATAAACATAAAACACAGCCATGGATGGAAAGTGCTGCTGGTGAAAACATTACAAAACATTCTGTACGACTTTCTGGTGGAAGACTGTAAAATACAAACCTTCTTTTTGATGGAGCTGTTGGAGCACTTCTTAAGAGTTAGTAAAGCCGTGTAGGTCAAAGACTCCTGTACAGTGAGAAAGCTTAACAAAGTGTCACTCTGAAAAAAAAGTGAAGAGGAAGAAGGAGTTAGTCCCATAGTAATTAAAATTTTGTCCCTCTTCATGCAAGCCTAATCATTCATACAGCTTATTAATTGATTTGTCCCAAATTTCCTAGTAAAATCACACTCACATTACACTACTCCATTACACTAGCAATTTTTTTACACAAAAGGAAACACAGTACACAAAAAATAAATGTAGAAATCAACCTGTGGCACGTAAGAGAAGCAATCTCTGAACTGTTCTCTCTTCAGCTGACATCCATTCACATACACTTCACCAAAGAAGTTGTCTTTATGTCCCAGTCGTCCCGATATTGCATCCAGAAGAGTTGTTTTCCCAGATCCTTTCAAACAAAAGAAATTAATAATGTGCTGAAATGAATTTTATGATTCCAAGAGTGGTAGCCTGACTTGGATGGACACGTACAAAAAGCACAAAGTTGGATTTTTTCTCAATAACTTTAAAATAATAGGCCCTGAAAATGCAGCTAATTAAGGGAAAGTAAACGGGAAAACTAGAATGCAAATTAGCATTTAAATCATAAAAAATTCACACTCTGCAGTGAAACATTTGAGTTTTGAAGCAACCTTGTCTGTTATTGAAGTTATAATTGTTAGTTAGATGACAGAAGACTGAACTCTGAAAACCAAGCACCATTTTTGCGAAGCAGAAGTTAAAATCAGCCACAATTTCATTATTTAAAACACAGACCTCAGTCACATTCATGTCACTATGAAAGTCACCAGTATTAACTGTGATCTTATTTAGTTTAAAGTACTGGAACAACTTACCAGAATTTCCTAAAATCCCCATAATCTGGCCACTTTCTATGTGAAATGAAACATCCTTAAGTATTTGCCGGGTCCATTTTTTACAATATAAAGAAAAGTTCCACCATGGGCCAACACGCTCTCTTGGAAAACAAACACCAATAAAAAAATTAGAGAATATTTAAAAATTTTGCATAAAGCAAGTGAATGGTTCATAGCTACTTCCATGTTGGATGGGAGCTGCAAGGATTTTAAAATATGGAAAAATAAAAATAAAAGTATTTTCTCCTTGCCCTTTCCCCTCCGAAGGCTTCAACTTCGGCATTACCTGGAAGATAAAACGAGATCTGAACACGTTTTTCAGAATGACTGCTCAGAAGCTTTTGGACTACAACCAAAAGGGCAGCCATGAACTGTGGCTTTATTTGCTGATGATGTTTGCCAGCTATTTATCCACCTGTCCTTTCCTTAGTGCCTCGTGTTATCCCTCTGGCAGCAGCAAGAAAGGCAGTGGGAAAGGGCACAACGTTTGGAAATCTCTAAAGCACGTCCTTCAGAGGCCGTGAAGGGGATGCGGTGGGGCTGCGGAGGGCTCAGCCCTGAGGCCGAGGGCCCGGCGCCATGAGGGGGCCCGGCGCCATCGCTCCCGCCGTGCCGGGCTGCGGCCAAACCCACGGCACACATGGCCAGCCCCGCTCCCGCCGCCCCTGGCCGGAGCAGGGACCCTCCACACCGCCCTCCCAGCCCTACCTGATGGTGTAGGAGACACCCTGGACGCTGATGCTGTTGGGAAGCTGCTCCACAGCCATCCCCTTGCCTGTGTGCCCGATGCTGCCGCTCTTCTCCAGGGTGGGAGATACTCTGCCCGACATCCTCGGGTGCCGGGGCTCCGCAGCCTCCCTGCGAACCTCACGCTGCTGGCCGGTTGCCTGCCACTGCCACTGCCGCCACCACCATGCCTCCCCCGGCACCGCGCAGGGGCAGCTCCCGCTGTCCCGGGTCAGAGCAGGTCGCTGCCCACTGCACTTGCCACCTCAAAGAAAACAGAGGGGCTTCCTGTTCTTTCTTTTCCGGAGAAGAACTGATCAGTGATTAGCTGAAGCCGCTATCTGATGTACCTTTAGCCTGAGCTATTAGTGTCCCAGAGGAGGGGAGTATTTCCCTGTCCACGGGGTCATGCCAGCTGCAGAGACGCAGCGCGCCAGGAGAAATGGTGCTGCGGTGAGGGTGCCTGGAAAGGACTGCGTTCCAAACCAAGAGGAGAAGGATTTCCACAGCTTTCACAGACGATAGTCAAACCACTGCAGGGAGCCAGACTACCACCACCATCATCATGAAGGAAACTACGGACAGTGTCTCTTTGGACGATGCCAGCTGGGGGCAGGTGATGTGCGAGAGCTCGGCTGTGAGTGCGATCCGCGTGGAGTGGGGAGGGGCCCGAGGGGCTCAGCTATCCCGCAGCGCTGGCCGGGAGCTGGGAGAGGCAGGCAGCCGTCCTGGAGCTGGGAGAGGAAGGCGGCCATCCTGCCAGCGGGCTGGCACAGCCAGTGAGCCCCGAGCTGCTCCCGCTCCGAAGCGGGGAGCAGAAAGCATCCACATCCCCCAGCGCAGCACACGGGGCAGGAGGCTGGTGCCGTGCAAGCCCTGCTCAGGTGTCACCGTGGTGGAGCTGAGAGAAGGTCTCCAAATGTGTGGATGGGGGAGAAAGCCCCTGAGCGTATCCTGGACTGGCTTTCCCAGGAAATGCCTTCAGACTAGATCCCCAAATTTGCTGGGGAGCACCTGTTTTCAAAAATTAGGTTCAGCATAAGGAAGGGCTCAGAGTGCTTTGGCAGCAGGGATAGTTTAGAAGGCTTTCCTGTAGCTTCTCAGGCTGCCTGGTGTGATGTTGCTTGCTGCTGTATATCTAGACTGAAAAAAATAATCAGCCTTGTTTAATGTGAGGGCAGGAGGCAAGGTCATGGTCATCCTCTGCCAGAGATACCACAGGCATGGATAGGGTCTGGTACACAGGGAACAGGTACATTTGCCTTGGCTAGGGTTTGAGTCTGGCAAGCAGGAAAAGCACAGAGCTGTGGAAGAGATACGGCTGGCTGGAAGGAAAACTGCAGACATGCACACGGAGCTAAATCCAAAGCTAGGACTTTGTAATTGCAGCTGTATGCAGAAGGGCCAAGTAGACTCTTGTTATTTTAACAAGATATTTTAAGATATCTCAGAACATTAAGTTCCAGCTGATAAATGGTGAATTTAAAAAACAAAAAAGAAGAAAGAGACTGTGCTAGTAGCTGGGTTTCATTTGTTCATAAAGCCTCCAAGGATGCAAGTCCATGTGGAATTCAATAATGGATGTGCTTCCAGTGAACCTTCATTTTTAGCTGCCAAAATGTATCAATTACAATATGTACCATTTTGATTCCGTAGACTACTACTGCTGTAGTAGTACATCTTTTTTCCTCAAAAAAAGTCTAATCTCTTTGTAGTGACATGACATCTCAATTTTCAAAGTTTTCCCTTTTAATCTGAAAGCAACTAACAGCATGTTTGGCCCTCATAGATGTCACCAGAACAAAGTACTTTTCACAGTGACAGTGTGAACTGATAACTCATTTCAACTCTTCAGACTTTTGCAATACAGTAACTCATCAATAATACTGTTACATCCCATAAATACATTTCCCTTTGTGCTTCATCTTTTCTGAACTCAGACTTTAACAGCACTTTAGTTATTGTAATTAACTGTTGTAATCCACCTAACAACTTTTCCAGACCAAGACCCAGGATACTATTTTTCACTCTGAAGAAGATAACAGTCTTTACTTCACATACAGTGGAAAATCAAATGTTCTGGAGGTCAAAGAACTCAACTACCAGGTAAAAATTGTCATTTATACACCTCCCTCCAGCAGGAAGCATATCCAGCAATGCCTATTTCTATACCCAGACCATTTAAAAAGCCAAGTAAAGTTGAAAAAGTTTACACAACTGTTGCACAGTCAGTTTGTGAGCAGAATCACACTCTTGGCTGCAATATTGACAGCAGACTAACCCCTGTATTGTAAATATATCCAGTAAAGTTAAGGGATAAGACAGGAAGAGAGATCTGTTTCTAGGCCCTCCTTTGTTTCAGTCTTGAGCAACATTATTCCTCTGAGGGCTGGAGCAGAGGGACTTTCTATTCAGCTAAGGATGAAAGGAGCTCTTGCTGGCAAGAACGAGTATGTGGAAGGGGATAAAGAGAAGATGACTAACAAGGAGGACTTAAATGAACCAGTGAGATATTTCATCTCCTTCTCCCCATGGCGTCTGAATAAGATTTCACAATTTTCAGTTTCCTTGAATTTCTAATTATATTTAAAGTTTGAAACATTTAAAATTTACAATAGTAATAAATTACCAAAGTAACAAAGGACAGAGAGAGTTTTAGTGATTAACAGAAGAAGCAAGGCATGAAAGCATAGGTGGCTGCAAAAGAACTTCCTTCTAGGTATTTCTGAAGATTAATAATAATATTTTAACATGTGCTTTGCTTGTAACATTGTAACTTTGAAGGTATTTGTTGTTAAATAGTTTATTGCTTGAAGGGACTTGTTTCCTTCTTTGTTAGGTTAACACAGCATCCCAGATTCCCTGGTATGAGAACCTTGCTCAGATGAAAATGCCCTGGACCTGGAAATCGGATCCCCGTTCCCATGTGACAGTAATCCAAAATCTGAATCTCAAAGTGCGAAGTGGACAGATGCTTGCAATTATAGGAACCACTGGTAAGAGCAACCACATTTCATTATATGACCAGCTCTCAGATAAAATGAACACAATCAAGAGCAACACTCTGCAGTCTTTATGATGTCAAAATCTCTATGAGAAAAAACGGTTGGAGTGTCACTAAAATACATTCTTTAAGTGACATGATGAACAAGGAAACAAAGAAAATATGGGGGGGGGGGGGGGGGGGAGAAATTAAAATTTCTTTTCAAACCCAATTTTGTTATGCCCTGCACACATTTGGATTCTGTTTCCTGAGGTGTAGTGAGGTATTATTACAAGTGTGGCCTGGCAGCCTCAGATCTGCTGGACATTAATCAGTTTCATGGCTCAGATTCAAAACAGGCCAGTTGCAGACCATACTCAGATAGCAAACAAATGAACCCAAACCCCATAAGAAAGATCAATGCCAGCTTGCATAACCATAAGCAGGAATTCCATTTGGACTAAAACAATTTTAATAGGATAAAACATAGCATTTGCATTAATTAATAGAAACTTACAGAGAAGAAAAGACAGTTCCTCTTCTGTCTGGTGTTACTGCTTTATTACATTGGGGTTTGGGTTTTTTCTTCCATTTTCTGGTGGGAGTGGTCAAGGGGGACAAGAAGTAGACACTGCACCTTTAAACTGAAGTAAAAAGTGTCATACTTGGGAGGTAAAAACCCCCATGCTGTGTCTCCACTAGAGTCTTACATCAGGTTAGCTCAGTGATTCAGTGAAAATGCTCTCTCTCTCAAAGGCAAGGCATATTTGCCAAAGAAGTTTTAACTTTATTCCTAAAAAACGAGAGTTTTCTTTCCTATTGCCATGGGAATTTTTCCTTAGCACATATTGTTAATGTAAGTGAAGCTTACCTTAGAGACTCTCCTGATAATAAAAGGAAAAGCTTTGTGATGAAATAACATACTGAGTTATAGATATAGCACCTTTGTAAGGCAACATACACTGAGCACAAACGCCTTTCAGCAAACTAGTCAAACTATTTTCAAAAGCTGTTTATCATCTATTTCATCAAATGCCTTAGTAAAATGGATTAAACTGCTGATGGGTTTCACATTGTCAATGGCAATCAATATGTCACTCTTAAACAGAGCAATATGTGGTTTACAGATGGATGGGTTTCTTTTTTAAGATGTATGTATTAAGAAGCAAGTGTGGAGTTAATCTTTCAACAGGGAAACTAGAAATAAATGACATCTAATCATAAGAGAGTTCTGTGTGTTTACATACAGAATCATACAACAAAAAGGAAAAATTCATTTGCTGTTTAACTCCAGATCAGGTTTTGTTTTCATTGTTTTACTTTTCTTACCTCTGGGTATGAACCAGCTTTTCTTAATTATTTAAATGACTTTTTGTCTAATTCAAGTCATAATAATTTTTATTTCAGTCGTGATTAATGTTCTTATTGTCTGTATAATCATTCAATGCCTTAGTCATTCAGCTGATCCTGCTGCTGTTTCTGAATTCACAAATCCCTCCACAAAGAAAGCTCTTGCTGAGCATTTGGGTGCCAGCCCTGCAGCCAGGGCGGGACCATCTTTGACCTGTGTTTCAAAAGTGAAAGAGAGTTTACCAAAGAGATGAGACACTTCTTGTGTTCATGAAGCTGTCCTCAAAGCCCAACTACCCAGTTCTGCTGAGAAATGATAAGGGTTCAAACCACATACTCCATTCCAGAGGGGAGAGATTTCCTGAACAGGACCTTATAGTCAGTATTTTCTTTGAAGATCATCCTGTCTCTGTGACTTTAGGAAAACTTGAGGAGGGGTTGGTGAAGAATTTTTTTTTCCTTAACATCTCTGTCTGTGACAAGATCGCTTTTCAAAACCATCCCTTGGAAATTAATTTTCAATATTTATTTCTCTAGCTGGTGGAAAGACATCCTTGCTTGACGTGATAACCTGCCGGGATCATGGAGGCAAAATCAAGTCTGGTCAAGTCATGATCAACAACAAACCCAGCACTCCCCAGCTTGTTAGGAAATGCATAGCACATGTGAGGCAGGATGACCGACTGCTCCCCCACCTGACTGTCAGAGAAACACTATTGTTCGTTGCCAAACTGCGCCTTCCAAAGTTTTTTTCAGACTCACAAAGGAAAA